CCAGACATGGTGGGACTATAATAGCTTTAATCCCAGCTACATAGGAGGCTGAGGTGGGAAGATAGATTGAGCCTAGGAGAGCGACGCTGGAGCAAGCCATGATTGAACCACTGCACTCCAGCTTGGGTGATAGAGCAAGACCCTGTCTCTAAAAAACAAAAATACATTAAATTAAACAAGTTAAAGTACTGTAACCCTACAGAAGTTCACTCATTTTAACTTTTTGAAAAGGAACATTCCTAAGAAATCTAAACTATTAGGTATATTAACGGCTGAAAATCAGCATGAATGGCCATGTCTACCACCTTTGATAAGAATATCAGAAAAAAAGATGTCTCCAGTGTACTGTAGAGGATGGTGGGAAAGAAACTATAGAAATATATGTAGAGTACTGTTACTTTATTTCAGAATTCTTTCAATATTTTTATATATGACATATGTATGTAACATTTATGATTTTTAAATATAATTAAAAATAAAGAAAAGAGGCCGGGTGCGGTGGCTCACGCCTGTAATCCCAGCACTTTGGGAGGCCGAGGTGGGCAGATCACAAGGTCGAGAGATCGAGACCATCCTGGCCCACATGGTGAAACTCCGTCTCTACTAAAAATACAAAAATCAGCCAGGCATAGTGGCATGCGCCTGTGGTTCCAGTTACTTGGGAGGCTGAGGTGGAAGAATCACTTAAACCCAGGAGGTGGAAATTGCGCCACTACACTCCTGCCTGGTGACAGCAACACTCCGTCTCAAACCAAAAAAAAAAAAAGGGGGGGGGTATATAACAGTTAACAGACTGCTCAAGAAATTCCAAAGTAAGTGAATTCCCTGAATTATCAATAGCTGTAGAACTGCCTTCTTTTTAATTACTACAATGTTGTCTGATTCACAGAAATGAGAATAACCACTACCATCTCACTGAGTTGTGGTATTAAATGAAATTATCCCTATAAAGTGCTTATATTAGCATTATCTTACATACTAATTTAGTTCTTCCTCTATTGATATGCACCCTTGGTTGTTTTCAAAATTCTGCTCTTACAAACAATGCTTTGTTAGAGAACATGAGCATTTGAAATTCTGATAGATACTGAAGTTTTTCTCCAAGAAGCTTAGACCAATTTATATTCCCATCAACAATGTAAAAGGGCCTGTTATGGCATAGCCTCAACAACATAGTGTAATTACCAAACACTTTCTATTTTTGCCAAGCAAACAGATTTAAAACTCTCACTTTAAGATATATGTTTGTTAAGTGTGGCCCAACATCGTCTCATATGTTTAAATTTGTACTTTTCTGTCAATGATCTGATCCATAATATTTCACTGTTTTCCTATTATTACAGATTTTTTTAACTGATTTGCAAAAATCAACTACTTTGATGCAAATATCTTGCCCAATCTGAGATTTGTTTTCAGAGTTTATGGTGTTTTATGGAATACAGATATTTTTAGGTTTTATATAGTCAATTCACTGATCTTTTTATGTCTAGCTTTCGTATCATGCTCAGGAAAACCTGACATGGTCACTTTATAGATGCATATGTGTTTCTCTATTTTTATTCTGCTCCACTGATCTTTTTGTCTATTCATATACCAGGACCAAAATTTTTAAATTACTATGGTTTTATAATATGTGACTTAAAATTATATTGGGCTAGTCCTCATTATTAGTGGGTATCATACTCTTCTGGCAACTCTTACATGATAAATTTTCCATATGAAATGTCAGAATTTGCTTGCTATGGCTAAAAAAATGATACTCTGCCATTGTTATTTACATTGTGATAAACACACAGAATAGGAAGATCACAAGCCTTTAAATAGTGAGTTTTCCTAGGTGAGCTTTTCAAATTCAAGCCTTCTTTTATGTCCCTTAGTTGCATTTTATTAACGCTTCTTCATGTATATCTGGTGGATTTCTTGTTTATTTCTAGGTATTTTTATAAAATGTTATATTATTTTCAAACGAGAAGACTCTGATTTTTAAGTCTCTCAACATACCACCCAAGTGCTTGCTATAGAGATATAACCCGATAAATTTTTATCATGAAAAGCAGAAAATAAGTGCTGGTGAAGCTGTACAGAAACTGGAAATCTTGTATACTGCTGGTGGGAATGTAAAATGTAAAATGGTGCAACTTTTGTGGAAAACATTACAGCAGTTCCTCAAAAAAATATTAAACAGAATTACCATATGATCCAGCAATTCCACTTATGGGTATACATAAAAGAACTGAAAGCAGAGACTCAAACAGATACTTGCACATTTATGTTCATAGCAGCATTACTGACAATAACTAAAAGTGAAAACAGTCCAAATGTCCATCAATGCAAAAATGTATAAACAAAATGTGGAATATACATACAATGAAATATTATTCAGCTACAAACAGGAGTACATGCTATAATAATGTATGAAACTTGAAGAAATTATACTGAGTGAAATAGGCCAGATGCAAAGGACAAATATTGCATGATTCCACTTACACGAAGTATCTAGAATAGACAAGTTCATAGAGATAGAAAATAAAATAGTGGTTACCAGGATCTGGGGGAAGGGAACGATGGAGAATCAGTATTTAATGGGTACAGAGCTCCAGAATGAAGTGATGAAAAAGTTCTGAAGATGGATAGTGGTGGCAGTTGCACAACAACATGAATATAGATAATGCCACTAAACTACACTTTAAAATGGTTAAAATGGTGAACTTTACATAATCTGTATTTTACTACCATTTTTTAAAAAGGAAAAATATGAATAACATAACATCACAATCAGATATTAACATAGTAGATCTTAAACTCAGATTGTTTAAAGGTGCTATG